TATCAGTGTAGACCAGAAGCTAGCGGTAGATGCCGTTGAAGAGATAAAGATCGAGAAGCATCTTAAGGACAACCTTGCGTGTGATCCCAAGATGCATACAGCATACCGCAGCGTTCTTGGCCAACTGACTACACAGTCGAACTCAAGTACACCTTTGTTATAAGGTTTCTCGCCGTGCATCGTGCGAGCTAAACCGATTATCGGTGACTGTCGAGAGCTTAACAAGGTAGTTCGCACACTGAAATGCCAGTATGTTGACGCAAGATTCTGGCCACTCAAAGGACCACTGCGGCGGATACTGGGCTTCCCTGATGCGTCGTACAGAAATAACGCTGACAAGAGTAGTCAGAGAGCACATGTTATTCCCCAAACAGTTTACTGTCAGAGGTTCTCAACGCTTTAAAGAATGGCCTTGGTGCTGGATGGTCTGGTCGGGTTCCCGGCCGGCTTGTCTCCTACTTCCTTTCACTTGTCTCCCAGTTCTTTTCATTTGTCTCCCAGGCTGGGTGCTTGTGGTCGGGCCACTTCCTTTCATTTGTCGTCCGGACACAAGCAAATCTAATTGAGACTGAATGAGTGGCCTCCATTTTGGTGTCCGTTTCAGGACCCCAAAACGGGTGCCGTTTTGTCGGCAAAATTTTGGTCACCGGGCGAAAAATAGCAAGAGTTTCGATTGTTTCTGCAGGTACGCGACAAAAGTTTTCCATACCGCTGGGTTTCCATGGCTTTGCAGCGCCGCAGGCACTTGTTCTCCACACCCTGCGAACATTTATGTCCGCACATGTTCTTGAACTGTTCAAGAACATGTGTGGGCATAAACGTTCGCAGGGCGTGGAGAACAATTGCTCGCGGCGCTGCAAAACCATGGAAACCCAGTGGCCCAGCGGTATGCAAAACTTCTGTCGCGTACCTGCAGAAACAATCGAAACTTGCAGTATTTTTCGCCCGGCGGCAAAAATTTCGCCGACACCAAAACGGGGGCCAAGTCGTCCGGACACAAGCAAATCTATATAATTGAGACTGAATGAGTGGCCTCCATTTTAGGGGTCCGTTTCTGGACCCCAAAACGGGGGCCGTTTTGTCGGCAAAATTTTGGTCACCGGGCGAAAAATAGCAAGAGTTTCGATTGTTTCTGCAGGTACGCGACAGAAGTTTTCCATACCGCTGGGTTTCCATGGTTTCGCAGCGCCGCAGGCACTTGTTCTCCACACCCTGCGAACATTTATGTCCACACGTGTTCTTGAACTGTATACTCGAGCAAACGTGGCCTATAGCAGGGCCACTGACCTTGCGGTACTGGCCTGCCCTGTCAACATGCAAGGCATCCCAGGTGCCTTCAGGTCACGCAGCGCTGCTGCATGGGGTCAGCACCGTCCATACAGGAGGCAGCCACGAGCGTCAGCCACACACCATGGCGCGGCGTCCGCCCTTTGGCGATGCAACATTTCTATTCCAGGTCTCTCACTGGTGTCCGCCCTTTTGCGCGGCCATGCAGCATATTCATGTGTCTCTCAGGCCTGTCACTGGTGGTGTCCGCCCTTTTCTGCTGGCCATGTAACATTTCTATTCGTTTGTCTGCCACATCTGTCACTGCTCGTTTGTCTCCCAGGTCTGTCACTGGTGGCATCCGCCCTTTTCCGCTGTTTCAATTCATTCGTCTCCCAGGTCTGTCACTGCTGGCGTCTGCCCTTTTCCGTTGGCCATGTAGCATTTCTATTCATTTGTCTCCCAGGTCTGTCACTGCCAGCGTCCGCCCTTTTCCGAGCATTTCTGTTCTTTTATCTCCCAGGCCCGTGTCCTTATTTGTTTCCCAGGTCCGTCACTGCTGGTGCCATGTAGGCATTTCTACTCATTTGTTTCCCAGGTCCGTTACTGCTGGTGTCCGCCCTTTTCCGTCGGCCATGTAGCATGTCTATTCATTTGTCTCCCAGGTCTGTCACTGCTGGTGTGCGCTCTTTTCCGCAGGCAATGAGCATTTCTATTCATGTGTCTCCCAGGTCTGTCACTGCTGGTGTCCGCCCTTTTCCGTCGGCCATGCAGCATTTCTATGCATTAGTCTCCCAGGTCTGTCACTGTTGGTGTCCGCCCTTTTCCGCTGGCGATGCAACATTTCTATTCATTTGTTTTCCAGGTCTGTCACTGCTGGTGTCCGCCCTTTTCCGGTGGCCATGCAGCATTTCTATTCATTTGTTTCCCGGGTCTGTCACTCATGCTGCCGCCCTTTTACGCTGGCCATGTAGCATTTCTATTCATTTGTCTCCCATGTGATTGTCTTTCAGGTTTGGTGCCTGCACTGCTGTTTTCTGCCCTGTCCGCTGGAACAGGTTCACCTGTGAAAGGTTCTTGCTCCTTTGAAAGGGGTGCGTGACTGTCTCCGGGCTTGCATTCCTGCCACACTGTGTAACTCTCTCAGCTTTGTTTTCCTTTTCGGGCAAGTGTTGGATGAATGACCGGATTGGATTTCGGCGGCGTGGCAGCGATCTCTCTGTTCAGTTGACACGGAGGGCATGCGTCAAGCACCAAAAATCAATTTCACGTCACATCCTTCGCTCCTCATGCTTTTATTTCTTGTCCTCACGCGGTCAGCTCCCCGCTGATTGAGCAGCATGACCAGCATCATGTTCGCGCTTGAAGAATTTGGCAACATCCTGTCCCGTTTCTCCGCCCGCTACTTCGAGACGATGCTCGACAGTGGAGGATTTCCGGTTGCAGAAAGCTCTGCCCCTGGTGGGCGATACCCCAAGCAGTGGCACTTGCCGGAGTGGCAGGCCATTCTGGCACGTGAGGATGTCGAGTGGGTGGGCCTCCCAATGTGCGCCTTAGGATTGGGACCTCCTGACGAACCTGATCATTTCTATGTTCATCGAACTCGGGTCGTTTTTCCACGACACGCTCCCCTTCGCCAAGCCCTGCAGCGCCGGCGTCGTGGCATTGGCCCTCATCACCAACCATTGAAAGGATGCGGAGAGGGCACTGTGCTTTGCCACATCCTTGCCGATCTGCTTGAAGACCTTCGATCTACCGTATCCTCCCCGTTCGAGACGGTCGACAAGATGATGCCTGACAGAACGATCAGTGAGGAGAAGCGGATTGTCCACGACCAACGGGGCGTCAATCCGGGCGCCTCCGAGTTCCTACATCCTCCCGCGCTTCAACCAGCTCACGTCCAGGTTGCAAGACGCATACTCTGGCATAAGGTGAGATGCCCCAAGATACCAGTGTTGATGAGCAAGAAGGACGCATTCAGGTTGCTGTGGCTGGCCCCGGTGACGTTGAGCTTTTTGGGGGCGACATCCCGTGGAAGCCCGAGTCGTTGGAAGGTGATGTGGCGGTCGAGGGTGAGCAAGTGTGAGCATGGCATCACGGTCCTCTACTTGGTTTCCTCCTTTGGCTTCTCTGGCTCCCCAGGTGAGTGGTCGATGTTCGGCCGCGCCACAGCAGAGTATCACCGGGCCCACCGCCCGGCAGAGCCACGCCAGCACCTTCGCGCCGGGTTTGACGCCAAGGTCTTGGTCGATGACTGTATCTTGGTGGAGCCGATGGTGGGGCTACGACCTTGGACCTTGGGTGAGCGCGGAGGTTTTCGGGCACGGTGTCCGACAGATGTTGGGACAAGCAGCGATCAACGTCGAGAAGGACAAGATCGAAGGGGAGTTCAGAACAACTCAGACAGTATGGGGCCTCGTCATGGACACCGAGACGGAGAAGGTCTATCTTTCCGAGAAGCGCATCCAGAAGGGAGCAACGTTGCTGGCCGAGAAGGAGTTCGACTTTGGCGAGCGGACCCTTACATTGAGGCAGCTGCAGCGGTTTAGAGGCATCATGACGGGATGGACCTCAGTGCTGAAGGGGTTTTCCTGCAAGGCCAAGATGGTGGAGCTCAAGTCCAACCTAAGTTGAAGGGCCATGGATCCCAGGCCTGGGCGGACCTTTGCGAGCTCTTCGAAGTCTTCGAGGCATGCCGCTGGTTGAACAGCAATTCCAAACAGTGGGAGGCTTTGTTTTGCTCGGATCTACGAACTATGCTCCCTCCCTTGGGGCGAGTTGCCCTACCTGGAGAGTGGGATCGAGTTGTGAGGTGATTTCATCAGATGCCTGTTCTGGGCGCTATCGACTGGACCGACCGCTTCACCTTTAGAGAGGATCGCCGGAACATCCGTCCATGGGTGACAAGGGTGCTCTCCGATCAGGACCTGGAGGAGGGCGGGATCATAGCCTTCGCATGTGCCGTGGGAGAAAGGTGGAAGGGTGCCGTGGTACTCTATGCCGGAGACAAAGAATCAGAACTGGCTGCAAGGACGACAAAGTGGGATCAAAGCTGGGAGATTGCTGATCCGACTGGCCAACATGGTTGAGATGAGGTATGGGTGCACTATCCTGGCTGGTTGGTGGAGGACCTACCACAACGTGGATGCCCAGCCGCTGTTCCGTTGGGCGAATGGCACCGTCCTCAAAAGAGTGGAGGGCAAACGCTGCTGCAGCAGGCAGCTCGAGCCGAGAGGTTCCTCAGTCACAGTCTCCGGATCGGTGGCGCCACAGCCCTATACCAGAGAAGGGGGGAGATTGAGCTAGTGAAGCGCCAAGGCCGATGGAGCAGTAGCGCCGTTCAGAGGTAGCTGCATGACGGAGGAGAGGAGCTTGCCAAGGTCTCCGTCAAGATGGCAAAGCTCGGCAACACCGCCTACTATGCATAGATGAGGTGGGGGAGCTGGGCACGATGACGCCACGGAGCCAAGCATGCAAGGGCATGAACTTGGCGAAGACAACTT